TCATCACATCTAAGCCCTAACTTTATGGACAAGAAAATAGAGGCCCAGGAGAGTATAGTCATGTCATTCATGTTCTTAAAAGAAAGACAAAACTATACCCCTTCCTCTCTTCCAAGTTAGTTAGCATTCTAGTATATAAATTTTTTCCCCAATTTTTACATGTTTAAAACAGACTCCTATCTAACTCACTACAAATCTTGCAGTACAACAAATACATACATTGTATATAAATCAGAGCAACTAATAACCCAAGGCTCAGTTCTCACTATAACATGAATTTTACATTTACCACCACTGTTTACCTTTTATAAAAGTTGCGTTGGTGAACATGATAAATATAAAGAATTTAAAGCTTTTCAGAATAAAGATTTAACTGATGGAGGCCGTTAAAAATATTTCACTTAACATTAATTGTAAAAAAGTGAAAGATAAACGAATTCTGGAATTTTATATCTTATCTGTTCTTTTCATAAGGCGAATGGAGTGTGTTTCCTTGATACATGTTTACTTCAGCGATAGTTTTGATAGGCTAGCTCTTTCTTCAGGAAACAAGTTCAAATAGGTCTTTCCCAAGATTACCTCATATTAGAATCACCTCCTGACTTTAATAGTGATGTGAAGATAATGTGTTTGGCAATATGCTAATTACTAATTGGGTACTTGTAACAAAGTGAGGCTTGTCTGGAGGTGGGAAGAGGAGAACTGTTATAATGGGTGCGGCTGGAGGTAAAATAGGAAGGAATTCCATGAGGGGGGTAGTTAGACAGATAGAGAAGAACTTTGTACTATGGGCATGACTTACTGCACATTCTGCTTTTAAAAAGTACGGTTATTAGCACCTTCATCATCATCCCACTTGGAGCATTCTACTCTCCCATCCCAACCCCCCAACCCAATCCTAGGCTGTCCCAAGTATATCCATTGCTGTGCAGTCCATTCCGACTCATGGCAACCCCATGTGTTACAGAGTAGAACTGAGTCCTGGTAAAATCTTAACAATGAAATTATATGCTACTTGTCACATCTTACTCAATCTAGAAACTGAAGGAGAGCGTTTATTTATTAATATTTACTCTATTTCAAACATGCTGGTCATTTGTTGTCAGTAGAAAGTATTTCCATAAAAATAGGGTATAAAGTGATTTTTAACAAACTAACTCCAGAGAGCTGGAAAAATAATTCCACTTCTGAATACTTTGTAACTGCAAAACTCAGCAGAATTCTTAAAACTTATCTATTAATGCACTTTTTATTTGGATAATTTATTGTCTGAATTTATCTTTGGATTCAGGTTATTTCCCGTACTAATGATGCCAGACTACAGTGTTTTAGTCTTAGACATTGTCAGCTATTATTATCTTCACAATATTGACAAAACAGCACCAAGAGTCTACATGTTATTAAAATTTCAATAGCATTTCATTTTTAAAACTTTTATGACTGGCCAATGAAAAAAATCAAGCACCACTTGTAAAAGTTCTTCCAATATCCTTAAATATATTCACATACCATATACCCCTCAATATATTTTATTTTAGGAAAAATATAAGCCACAAACTCAGAACTTGCCAGTAAAATATATTTTGCAAGCTTTCCAAATACTAATTTGTAGCAGAAAACGGATTTTCAACCACAAATGTTATTTCATATGTATATATATTTTTTCTTAAAGACATCATACTTTTAAAATATATTTGCCTCTCCTGTTAATAAAATGGCAGTTCAGATCCACCAGGTGCTCCTTGGAAGCTCTATGGGGCAGTTCTACTCTGTCCTATACGCTCACTATGAGTTGGAATCAACTCGATGGCAATGGGTTTGGTTTGGTTTTTCTGGTTAAAAAGAGGATAACAGCAGCTGGAAAATGATAGATGTTTAATAAATAATTATTGATTTGATAGGATTTGGGGCACTTTTTTAATTCAGAAATTGTCTTCTGGATTAATCACGGATATGTCCTTGATGGGTAAAATATTTAACGACGCATGATGCATCAAAAGAAGATGGAAGGAATACACAGAGTCACTGTACCAAAAAGAATTGGTTGACGTTCAACTATTTCAGGAGGTAGCATATGATCAAGAACTGATGATATTGAAGGAAAAAGTCCAAGCTGCACTGAAGGCATTGGCAAAAACAAGGCTCCAGGAATTGACGGAATACCAATTGAGATGTTTCAACAAATGAATGCAACAGTGAAAGTGCTCTCTCGTCTATGCCAAGAAATTTGGAAGACAGCTACCTAGCCAACTGACTGGAAAGATCCATATTTTTGTCCATTTCAAAGAAAGGTGATCCAACAGAATGCAGAGATTATCAAATAATATCATTAATATCACACACAAGTAAAATTTTGCTGAAGATAATCCAAAAGCAGTTGCAGCAATACATCAACAGGGAACTGCCAGAAATTCAAGCCATATTCAGAAGAGGACGTGGAACCAGGGATAGCATTGCTGATGTCAGATAGATCTTGGCTGAAAGCAGAGAATACCAGAAAGACGTTTACCTGTGTTTTATTGACTATGCAAAGACATTTGACTGTGTGGATCATAACAAATTACGGATAACACTTAATTGTGCTCATGTGGAAGCTGTACATAGACCAAGAGTCAGTCGTTCTAACAGAACAAGGGGATACTGTGTGGTTTAAAGTCAGGGAAGGTGTGCATCAGGGATTATCCTTTCACCATATCTATTCAGTCTGTATGCTGAACAAATCGTCTGAGAAGCCGGACTATATGAAAAAGAACACAGCATCAGGATTGGATGAAGACTCAGTAACAACCTTCCATACAGATAACACAACCTTACTTGCTGAAAGTGAAAAGGACTTGAGCACTTACTGACGATGATCAAAGACTACAGCCTTTAGTATGGATTACACCTCAACATGAAGAAAACATAAATCCTTACAACTGAACAAATAAGGAACATCATGATAAACCTAGAAAAGATTGAAGTTGTCAAGGATTTCATTTTACTTGGATCCACAATCAACGCCTATGGAAACAGCAGTCAAGAAATCAAACAACTCATTCCATTGGGCAAATGCGCTGCAAAAGACCTCGTTAAAGTATTAAAAAGCAAAGATGTCACTTTAGGACTAAGGTGCGCCTGACCCAAGCAGTGGTATTTTCAATTGCCTCATATGCATTTGAAAGATGGACAATGAATAAGCAAGACCAAAGAAGAAGTGATGTCTTTGAATTATGGCACTGGCAAAGAATATTGAATATACCATGGACTGCAGAAGAATGAACAAACCTGTCTTGGAAGAAGTACCACCAGAATGCTCCTTAGAAGCGAGAATGGCGAGACTTCCTCTCATGTATTTTAGACATTTATCAGGAGGGACCATTCCCTAGAGAAAGGCATCATGCTTGGTGAGGCAGAGGGTCAGATAAAAAGAGGAAGACCCTCAAGGAGATGGATTGACACAGTGGCTGCAACAATGGGCTCAAGCATAACGATTGTGAGTATGGCACAGGACATGGCAGTGTTTCTTTCTGTTGTACATAGGGTAGCTGTGAGTTGGAACCAACTCGACTGTACCTAATAACAACATGCCCTTGACAGAAATGCCCCATGGGGTTTCCAAGGCTGTAATCTTTACGGAAGCAGACTGCCACATCCTTCTTCCATGGAGTTCTTGGTGGGTTGGAACTGCTGATCTTTCAGTTAGCAGCTGAGTGCTTTAACCACTGTGCCACTTATGAGTCAGAACCAACTTGATGGCAATGGGTTTGGGGTTTTTTTTTTATGACCTTGATATTAGATTGGTTTTAAGTACACTAAATCAAAGACCTTATCCAAGATAACTAATTAGACGCTTTTCCTAATCCGAGTGATGGATCGCCATTCAGCTGGAACACTGTCACTCCTACCTTCCCCAGTTTGATCACCCAGAAAATCTTGGGTGAGCTGTTAAGAGGAACAAGAGACACCATGTTGGAAATGCTCTAGGGCTTCGTTTTAATCCTCTCCCTCTGTTTCCTCCTTTATCTTTAAAAAGGGAATTGTTATGGAAAATAAGAGGCAGCAGTGCTAAAAGGAACCAAGCAATAGGTTGAAGTTCAAGGCTTGAGCCTCTAAATTACATTTCTACCATTAATAGTTTTGGGATCATTGCAAAATTACTTTGTTTTTAACAGTTTAGTTACTTCTTTCTCCCTCATTTATAAACATATGAGGTTGGACTAAATTTTCAAGGCCTCTTCCAGTTCCCAAATCCCATAATTCAGAGTACCCATAAAAAATAACTGTAACTGTGGGATGTTCCTTTTCTAAAGTAAAGTTGTAAAGGGTATAGACTTTTTTCATTAACAAATGCCAGAAACTATGCGGAACTTCGTGGGTGCTGGATAAATATTAAACAATCAATTTTATCTTTCATCTGCAAAATGGGGTGAGTAATGCTGACTCCTCTCACAAAATTCTGTGTGAGAAATAATAAATGAGAACAAAGCACTTTTCAGATAATGAAGTAATTCACATAAGCTGCTTTAATAGGTCTGAGGTCTAGATAGATGATGCAAGAATAAAGTGTCTTTTTTATTACATCTGTGAAATACAACAGTCTTTTCATCTGTTTAAGAAGAAACAGTCATTATCCTTGCTTATCACCAAAAAGTCAGCATGAGTAATTTCTGTGCAAATAGAATTTTTCATGTGATTTTAACATTTATCACTTTTAACAAAATGCAGCTTTTATCTTTACCTGATATCAAAATGGAATCGTATCTTGATTTAAGTAGTTTAATGAGGCGTTCCATCAACATTATACTACTCTGCCCTAAGAAAATGCTTTTTGAAATGACTGATAAGCTGCACAAATGAGAAAATTGTAAATTTAATAATCCTCCTACTCAAAAATAATTCAATTCAGGGATTGTTACTAAGGAAAATGATGCATTGCATTCTAGCTTGCAGGAGACTTCCACAGTATTTTTTTTTTAATGTTAATGTTCAATAAATAATATGTTCTGTATTTTTTACAGTGTTCCAACAAAAGACAGCCAGAAAACAATCTGGTAGTGACAAGTTCCATGGTCCTTCTAGGAAACAAGGTATTGAAACTAACTTTAGTTTATTTAATAATCTCTAAATAAGATTTAAAGAAATTTTATGAATACTGAATAAATTCTCCTGGGAGAGAAATAAATAATGTATGCCTGATTAATTTGAGTTTTAAGTTTATGTCTTACTCAAATGTAATTTTTCCATAAGATCCATGCATAAAAATTACTTTAATTAACAAAAACAAGAAATAGCCTTAGAATGTTTACGATGATGTTTTTGATGCTGTTATCAGGGCTCTAGAAAGGTCAAGTAAGACAAGTTCTCTAACATGCCTCAGACACCATGATTTCATAGACCATTAGAAGTTCTGTGACTTAACTTGGTGGGAAGGGCAGATGATTACTCTTCCAAGTTTCTCAGAAGAAGGAACCACCATGAAATTTCTGGACTCTATATTGAACTCCAACCAAAGATTGTACACATTTCACACTATTCGTTTGCCTTCAGTACTTGATCCAACATCTTCTGAACAACTATTTGTCATGCAGCGAGGAGCTGAAAACTGTAGTCACAAAGACATCTCACACAAGAAGAGTATTTTCCTCTTGTTCTACAAGGAGGCAGCTGTGTCTAGTTTTCCCTGAAACATTTGTCTCCTATTGAAAGGAGAGAATCCAGAAGGTTACTCATTATGATTTTTCTGGCAATAAAACCTGGGTTAAAATTCAAAAATAAAAAATGTATAATTTGGCAGAAGTTAGGGATAACATTGGCTGGCTCTGAGAATCAATGAACATACACCAAACCAAACCCATTGCTGTCGAGTCAGTTCCGACTCATAGCAACTTTAAAGGAGAACTGCCCTATAGGGTTTCCAAGGCTGTAATCTTTATGGGAGCAGATTGCCTGGTCTTTTCTCCCGAAGAGTGGCTGGTAGGTTCGAACCACCAACCTTCCGGTTAGCAGATAAATCCTTAACCACCGTGCCACCAGGGCTCCTTAATGAACATATACAGACCTTTTACCCTCAACCTACCTTTGAAATAGCTTGAGTCCAAAACGATACTACCTTGAAGTTGTTACCAGTGAATTGTTGAGATACTAAAATAAAATTAGGAAATTATTTCACAGCAGTCACCCAAACGTTTCCATTGTCAGTCTCCTTTTGTGCCATTGTGGAGATGACTAGTGATTTTGCCAACTTCTAACACCCACTGAAGTATTACATGCACAACCTCAATGGAGCTACTTCTAGAACATCATGAATCATTCTACAAACAAAGGCGTGTCCTAAAGTAAGTCTTCATCCATCATTTCAAGTGGCATTTCCAAGGGCAACAGTGTTGTATTTAGATCATTCTTCCAATTAAGTATATGGTGTTTGAATGCAACACATGATGAAGCTGATCTAGTCTCCCATGAACTATGTGAATATACTGCTGCTAAATTTACATGCAAAAACCTCCTTTCATTTAACAATTTTCCATTTCTAGTGATTTCATTTTTTTTGGGGGGGGGGCGCAGGGAGAAGATATACGTTTTTATTGGGGAACAGATATATCTTTTTGTGTCTACTATTATGCTCCAACTTTGCCTTCGGTTCTCTAAAGAAATAAATGGAAAGCTCCATATGAGATCATTGTACAATTAGGACTAGAATAGTTACTTTAAAAAATCTAAACAAAATAGATAAGTTTATTGCTATATGGACTCCTCCATATATCTCACAGAGCTTTGGAAAGGATAAAGAGAGGAGATGGAAAATGATTTGAACACTTTGAAAGGAAATTTCCCAGAAGTCTTTTTATAAATTGTTCAATTATCATGTTTTTAATTAAATTATTCTAGAATTAAGGGAAAATGTAAAGAAGACCACAGGACATGAAAGAAGATGAGCAGTAAGTGTAATGAACAGATTCTTGGAATACATGAAATTATCAATTATTTTTCTGGCTGTCCCACAGAGAGCAATATAAGGAAAAACTGCTAGTATCCATTAAGTCTAGAAGAGCCCTATTATTATTGTACCATATGTATAGAAAATTACATAGCTATACTTATAGAAAAGGGAAGGAGAGAATAGTGAAAGGGAACAAGGACCTTACTATAAAATATTTTCATGGATTAATATTTGCCCATATTTTGTTACCTAGTTTGTCTCATCAAAATCAACTGTCATTAGATTTTTTAAACTCTTTAGGGGCTAAGATACTAAAAATTTTAATCAAATTTTGCATGGAATTTTTTTCTCTTTGGATACTTAAGTACAACTTATTGATGAAGTTTTGGTAGGTGAACTTAGAACAGTTTCCCTTTGGATGCTGGTAACTCAGCAGAATGGAACAGAATATTGTTCTGTTTGCAAGAACTAGGGGAACATCAAACCTTATGAAATATTAAAAAAAAAATTCCTGATGACTGTAATCTGCAGGTAAATCGGCATTTAGCATGAGAAAAAAAGATTGAGAAGATTTTAAAAATAAAAGAATTTGGTACTAAAAGGCTTACGCCGTTGAACCATTTTTCTGTGAACTTTTTTCAGACATTTATGACCATCCAACTCCTGGGACATACTAGGCACTCAAAATGCTTATTCAATAGTTATTTTCAAACATCCTGAAATTCCGTGGTATACTGGAGAAAGAAGTATGTACTTCTCCAATGATGATAACTTTATCTGGTAGAGAACAACAACAAAAAAAGAACCTTTTATAAAATGTTTGTGGGGGGGGGTCAAGATTTTATAAAGGATTAGCCACATTCTTTGAAGAAATTATTTAATTCTTCCACTATATGCTGGAAGGAAAAGGGATTACAAAAGCCAACTATTTTCCCACTGAAAGTGTTAGCATTTCATATGTCCTAGGTTCAAGATGGAGCCCTGGTGGCATAGTGGTTAAGAGCTTGGCTGTTAACCAAAAGGTCAGCAATTCAAATCCACCAGCCACTCCTTGAAAACCCTAGGGGGCAGTTCTACTCTGTCCTATAAGGTCGCTATGAGTTGGAATCGACTCGACGGCAACAAGTTTGTTTTGTTTTGTTTCTGGGTTGAAGACTACCAAGGGATTGCCAGGAAGTTGCATTATTGCTAAGTCAAGGAATTTTCCTGAGCAACAGAAAAAAATTAATTGGCACCATCTTGATAGAAGCTCAATGGATTGCTTCAATTCAATTTTCACATCTTTAAAAAAAAAAAAAAGGAAGGAAAAGTGCTGAAGACATTGGATCACAGATAAAGTTTTCCATTAAAATACAATTTTTAAATTAATTTTCCCAAGTTGTTTTAGAAATGAGAAAGTGCCAGAGAGCATTGTCACAGATAAAATATGTTCCCATCCACACTTCCATCATGTTTCCTCCTGCCCAAAACTGAACCTCACAGGGAAGTCAAGGGTTTGTTCTTCAATTTTACAAGCCAGAGAACTGAATTTTGCTACTGTGATAGGAGCTGACCAAGTCTGAGTCACAAAGGACTGATTTATAACCTCCAATTCCAATCTATTAAGCCTAGACTAGGGAAATAATGCTTGTATTCAGTAGGCCCCTGTCAAATAAAGTTTCTATAAAACATAATTAGTAATTAGAAGATTACTAGGTGAACATGGATCAAGTCAAAGGGTGCTACAGGAATGTAAGGGCCCTTCATCAAGGCCATGGAAAAATCAAGTTAACTTTCCCTGCCTCACAAAGTTATATAAGAGTCTAGGGTCAAGATGGTTCATGTCTTCCATACCTGTTATATCCTATTCTTTGACTGTACTCAGGGACCTTTTCTATCCTCACCAAAATCATGCCCATTTTACTAACATAGTCTTACCTCAGATATAATGTATGGCAACTGATGAGGTTTACACATTTGCAGCAAACCATCACCCTGTGATCAGGGCTCAGCAACTTGACTAAACTTGTTCATCCACTAATCTGCTCAGCCACACAGATAAATAATGGACCTTATCAAGGAGGTGTGGTTGCTGCCATTCTTAGAGGGAAAACCATTTATTTGAGGGGTGAGGGTAAGTGGGAGGTAAGAGAAGAACATCCACCCTAACCATACTGCCTGTACCAGTGACTCCAAACTCCAGATGACCATAAGAATTATCTGTAGACCTTCTACAATTCAGTTGCCTAAGCCTTACCTTAGACATGGATGAAAAGTGCAACAGGTGGAGAATAGTAATCAGCAAATAATCTAAAAATCATGATCCAAAAAAAAAATAAACCCTACCAGAAGAAACCATATGTTTCAGAGGCCATATTGTGGCCGCATTTGTCCTATAAATAGCTTGTATTTTAAAAATAACCTGCACAATATATTTTAAATTTTTCACAAACATTTAAAACCATGTATCATGGAAAAATTAAGATTTCCAACACCCTCATTATATATCATTTACTGCAAATGATATTTATTATTGTTTATTATCAATTCCATGTTGTTTTTCTTACATTTGAGACATATTTCTTTAAACTCATAATTCTATAAAACATGGGAAAATATGTGTATCAAGAAAGTCATACTATGGAGAAAAAAATGAAAGAAGGTATCTGTGATAATGAACACTATTCCAATGTGTTCAATAAGTAGGAGCCCTGGTGGCACAGTTGATAAGCACTCGACTGCTAACTGAATGGTCAGTAGTTTGAACCCACCAGCCACTCCATGGGAGAAAGATGCAGCAGCTGCTTTCATAAAGATTTACAGCCTTGAAAACCCTGTGGGGCAATTCTACTTCTGTCCTATAGGGTTGTTGAGTTGACATTTGACTCGATGGCAATAAGTAAGTCTTCCTTGTGCATAAATTTTATCTGTCTGGCCCCTATAGGTTTATGAGTTTGCAGTTCTTGGTAAAGTCCGTATCTACCAGTTCTTCACCCCACACTACAAAATCATTATTGGCTGGTCTTTGGAAGGATGCACGCTCATGGGAAAGATATACTGTGGGAACATATCTTTTATGTGTTCTCTAAGTGCCCAGTGCTGCAGCAGTTTGATAAATGTTAAATAATAAAGCTTTCTGGAAGTAGGAGACCTGGGGAAATGTAGAAA